CACCACCTCCTCCTCCTCCTCCTCCTCCACCGCCTCCTCCACCAAGTCCTATTATACTCCTCCTTCTCCTCAAACGCTGACACCCCGTTCCCAGTGCTGCTACCTCGCCACCACTCCACCCTTCCCTTCGGTTCTTCCACTCTTCTTACCTATGCGAGACAGCGCGCGCGTGCTCGTATTCCGAACCTGTCTCTCACCCTTCCCGCTCCAACTACGCTCGCGGAACCATTGCCTACTCGCAGCTTTCATCTCCACCCCCGCTTTAGATTCTCCTTTTATCTCGTTACTTTCTCGTCCATCGTCTATCCCTTCTACGTCCTCGTCCCTTTTCGCTTCCAATCGAGATTTTCGTTCGACTTATGTACGACATGCTTTGTTTCCTCGTCTCCAATCTTTCCTTTCCGTCCAAACAATGAAATATCCGTCGGGAAAGCTACTAGTCCTTAATCCTCCGTGCTTCGATCTTCCTACCGTTTCTTTCTTCCTCTGCGAGATCGCCACCTTTTTCCTCGGTTACGTATGCTTTTGTCTATCGACATGCTATGCCTCTCCCTTCTTTACCCTCTCTTTCCTTCTTTCCTGCATCGTTTTGTCAACCTCCTCCCAACGCTTCTCTCGCATCCTCGCCACCTCTGCACATACCTTCCCCTCTCGCCAAACGGCCGATAATTTTAGATTCTCGGCGCAGTGGCTCAACACTGCCACTGCTCAGCCTGCGCCGCGCACTCGAATATCGACATTCGACATCCGCGAGAACCACGAGCACACGCGACCTCACCGAAACCCCGAGGGAGAGTTTCGTATACCTAGAGAGGGGAGAACGAATGCACCAGCTAACCTTCCCCTTACGCCCTTGCTTTCTTACCGTCTATTGTATTTCCCCTCTTCCTTCCTCGTTTCTCCGCCGCCACTTCTTCGCTTTCTCGCCTTTCTTTCCTCGCGTATCCTTTCCGATATACCGAAACCACGCGGTTCTTCCCTCTTCCATCCTTCTTCGTTTCTTCGTTTCCCTCTGTTTCTCTAATGTCGAAAGCAACACTTGTAACAACATCCTTGTCCGTTCTTCCTGTAACCTGCAACGATATTTATTAACTTTCCCGCATTTTTACAGCTCACCGAGAAAGAAGAATAATAAAGGATAAAAAAAAAGAGCTATTTGCTTTAAGAAGTTTTTTTCTATTAGGCAAACTTTAATAGATTAAAATCGAATTGAAGCACGAAAATTCGAAATAGGGCAAAATTACAACGCGATAGTTGAATAGTCGAGTAATCGTTGATTAGAACGAGTATAATTTGACCCTAAGCCGGTCAACCAGAAAGTTGTATCTCGTGTTCTAACGAGCGGGTCAATAATATCTCTACCAGCTATTTTTAATAACGGGACCGTGCATCAACTTCTTACTTACGCGCAAAACGTTTCTTGTAAACGTTAATAACTTTCGTAAGTAACTCGATGCATTGGATACGTGTTTTTTCTCTTTTTCTCCATTTAACTTCTAATCGCATTCTTCATTCTCGCAATCGGTAACTTCCACGAGAAACCGGATATTCAATTTAAACGTATAACTTTCAAATAAACTCGATAATAGACCGTTAAATCGCTTGATTGATAATATTCTATCGTTATTTCGATGTAACGACAACGTTTCATTTCTATCCGTATTGTATCTTTCGAATTCCATAAACGGCGTCAACATCGACAGTCGTACCAACGTTACAAACCCATTCTTTTTCTACGTTCGACTCAAACAAGTGTCACATCGTTTACAGTAGTCTCAGTTTTTTTTTTTATGTGCTAGAATGAGCTCGCTTATTACGATGAAATTATCAAAAATTCATTGGACGCTTTTCATCGTGTGTTGCCTACCGTTTAGTATGTTACGTAAATATTCCTTTACGATGTACCTTTCTTTATTTATGAATGTTTTTAGGCCACGCCCTAGAATGCTATGTGTGTACTAATCAAGAGGGTAACAGAGAAAAGTGTTTAAGGAGTACAAAAATTTGCGAACAAGGTCAAGATACTTGTTTTACGGAAATTAGATGGGGAAGTGAGTCTTAACCTTTCTATAGTTATCGATTTATTCCAGAACGATATTTGAGGTTATGTTTACATCGATTGGTAAACGAGGATTTATCAAAATAAATTATACCTTTAGATTCTATTCTTGTAACATTCTGTATCGTTATCGTTGTTTATAGGTACTCCATACTGGTCACAAGGTGCGAGAAAGCAGTTTTACGTTTCAAAAAAATGTGCCACGAAGAAAGAATGCGAAAGAATAAAGCATTCTAATATGAAAGATTGCACGTATATATCGTATCAAGACTGGAAATGTTCCGACTGTTGTCAAGGAGATAAATGCAATTATTACGTTATCGTAAGTGAGATAGTTTCAATTTCTATTTTAACGGACAAAATAAAACATTCTATAACGTTTACTTTCTACATTTCAGTCTATGGCAGACAAAGTACATTCTTACTGGCTGATTGTAACTGCTTCATTGATAACTTTGCATAGCGTAAATTCCTGGATTAGAATAAATTGACGTATAATAAAATCCGAATATTATATCGACAAATAATATTACTCTGTTCCCTGCAACTAGTAATATTTCAATCACGATCCGTCGCAAAAGAAATCATCTTCAATTACAAATTGAACAAATAGTTATACACGATATGTATTTTAACTTTAATCGCGTATAACTTTCGTATTTTCATACTTTCATACTTTCTACGTATTTAAGGTAGACGTCGAAACGACACGGAAAGTTCGTGCGATAAATGCCGTACTTGATCTTATCGTCTCGAAAAAAATCTAGAATAATGCAAAACAGTGGAGAAGAGATGAATCTGATCGCGCGTTTTGCTGCAACGCAATGTATACTGTATCCGTCCAATACAAATTTTTTATTCATTTTATCGAAGAAATAATATTAAACGCGTATTAACGAATATTTTGTACTTGTTAATAAAATTACATATAATATGTATCGCGTTTTTCTTTTTCGATATTTCTCTTTGCCTCTTATCCTCTGCTTCTCGATTCATGTTCAATCTAACGACTGTTACATAGATACTGACTAAGATTGTGGAAAAGTATCTTTTTATAACGGATTATATATCACATTGTAGCTTAAGGGATATTTGATATCTACACAGATAAGTAGACTCGAGAATAGCTACTATTCGAGGGACATAATTTCCAGGATCATTTCTCAGTCGTTCACGGTATTAAGTCGTGTTATTCAGTGAATTAGTTCTCGAATAAATAGTTTTATTGTATATCGTTTATGTAAGTATAAAACGATCGTTTTCCTTTACCGCGGTATCCAGTTGGCTAATCATAAGGAATAATAAATAAGAATACTTATGTCGTACCACGTATACATAGCAAATTGTTAGTTTCGAAAGAAAACATACTATATACGTAGGTTCAAATTGGAACAGTCGGGCGAGTAATCCAAGGGAATCGAGAATAAATAGTACGCGTACGTATGTGTGCGTGTATGTACGTATTCGTTGTCCGGCACAACGCTACGCGCCTGGTACAATGAGCTTGACCACTTGCAAATTGAACGTTTGTTGTGTCATCGATCGTCACCATCGACCGTTGTCGTCGATCGAAAGAATATCCAACAAATATATTCAAATTATCCGAATATCGAGGGTTTCTGTTATAATACGAATTTAAAACCGCATCAACGGCGGCGGTAAAAATGTTTAGTTATCCACGAGACGGCCGAATAAGAGAGAAAAATATTCGATTCGTATCGCAATGAAACCGAAAGAACGTTTCATGTTATCTAAACTTATTGATACAATCGATAAATTAGAAATATGATCGGATCGCATCAGTTAAAATCAATATTATAAGCAGATGGCCAATATAGATAAAGCCGGACAGTTCTAACCTACACGCGACGGCGGTACGATTCCGACCAATTGAGTGATTCCGATCGTTCGCACAGCGACCAATCTTTAAGTTTGATTTAAAGACATTTTAATTAGCGCTCGTTTAGTCGTAAGCCGAATATTCAGTCTGTAGCCGAAGACATTCATTGCAGTATCTTAACATCTTTAGATAAAAATGCATACCCCATTTACCGTGCTTCATATGGTAAGCGAATTAAAAGATATTTCGATATTTTCCAACAAAATCTAACCTCTTTTTTCCCTCCCCGCCCCTCACCGCACCCCTTTCACATTCCTTTTTCCCTTTTTCTATAGAAAAGTAGACAAATAATTTCTGCATATCGTGTTTAACAAACATTATTTTCAGCTGCGCGACATGGAGAGATGGGAACTAGGCAAACTATACAAAACGCTCAGTCGTAAGAAAGAAGTGGATCTTTCTCAGAATTCAAGACTGGCGAGATGTCTGTCGACGCTAGATCTCACAGCTCTCGGAATAGGCTCGACTCTCGGCGTGGGTGTCTATGTCCTCGCGGGATCCGTTTCGAAAGAAACCGCGGGGCCAGCCGTGATAATTTCATTCGCTATTGCCGCAATCGCGTCCATGTTCGCAGGTACAATTCGAATTCGATTGCTATAGTTAAACGAGTGAGAAAAAATAATCGATTCGTGTTAATTTCTCTAACAGGTCTCTGTTACGCGGAATTCGGCGCAAGAGTTCCACGCGCCGGATCAGCGTATATATACAGCTATGTAACGATGGGAGAATTTACAGCTTTTCTGATCGGTTGGACGCTGATTCTCGAATATATAATTGGCTCGGCCAGCGTGGTACGTGGGCTGAGCAGTTACGTGGATAAATTATTTGACAACGCTATGAAACACATGTTTCAATCAGCAGCGCACATCAGCGTTAATTATTTATCTTCTTATCCGGACTTCTTCGCTTTCGGAGTGACTCTAATCTCATCCGGTAGGAAATTATTAGAAATCGTATCGGCGATATGATATAAAATGTTTATCGAAAAATTAAATTAAGCAACTCTTCTATTTGTATCTCTCGTGCTTCACACTTTTCAACGACTCGTAACTTCGTTAATCGAAACATATCTTCATCAGCTGCATTGGCATTCGGGGCAAAGGAGTCCTCGGTGGCGAATAATATCTTTACCGTCACGAATCTCTCCGTGGTTCTATTCGTGATAATAGCGGGATCTCTTAAAGGTAAAATTTTTATCGATATCTACCCTACTAACGGCAAGAGTCTCCTGAACTAATTAATATCGCTTTCTTTCTTTGTTTTTTGCGTGCGCGCGCGCACGCACGCAAAAGCTCTGTTTCTTGTCTATTTATAACACACTTGACGAAAAGCTAACATATCCAATTGGCAAAAGGAGCCGCCTGTGTGTACGGAAAATAAGTGCGATTACGGAAGTGGAGGATTCGCGCCTTATGGTATAGGGGGTATAATAGCAGGTGCGGCAACCTGCTTTTACGGATTTATCGGTTTTGACTGCGTCGCTACCACCGGAGAGGAAGCGAAAGATCCGCAAAAATCGATTCCGATAGCGATCATCGTCTCGTTGACCGTAGTCTTTCTGGCATATTTTGGTGTCTCGACGGTCTTAACCACTGTCGTTCCTTACTTCGAGCAGGACACTGACGTTCCACTACGATATCTGTTCGACAGTATCGGTTGGAACTGGGCATCATGGCTGGTAACCATAGGCGCTATTTGCGGTCTATGTTCAAGGTAAAACTCCTTTTATGCCTATCTACATTACGTACGGTGTATGTATTCTCGATGTAAACAATGAGATCCTTTTGCAGTTTACTGGGAGCCATGTTCCCCTTGCCGCGAATTATTTATGCAATGTCAGCCGATGGATTGATATTCGAATGGATGGGAAAAATCAATTCACGATTTCAGACACCACTGATGGGCACCTTTTCGGCGGGGATACTCACAGGTTCGCGACTTACGATTTTTCGTTAGGGCTCAATGATATGGTTTCACACAAACAGTTATCTCCACGTCATTTTAGGTGTACTTGCTGCGATATTTGAAATATCTCAACTCGTAAATATGATGAGCATCGGAACATTGCTCGCTTATTCGATCGTCGCAACATGTGTGTTAATACTTCGGTAACAAAAATTAACAATCACTTGTATATATAATATATTATATACGCGATACAGGATTTGTCGCTAACAAAGTTTCTACGCTACGTTCTCGTATTATCATGAATCGTTTCAGATACGAAGAAAGCGTAGGGTATGAAAAGAAAGAAGATCGTAATCCGAGAACCTTCGCGTTCATTGCACGACAACTGATTAACGCTAATGGATTAAGTCATTCTACGAAATTAACGTCTCAAATTGTTACGTGTCTCGTTGTGTGTTACGGTATGCTTATTTTGCTATTGAACATCAACGATCATACTCATCACTTATTAATAATGTTTCCTTTACAGTTATCCTGTGCATTTGCATTAGCATTATAGTTTCGATTTTTGCCAAAGAAATAATGAATGGTAAAATTACGTTTGTCGTTCCATTAACAATTCTACTGTTAGCCCTAATTGTTACCCTTATTTTTATTTACCTTCAGCCAACATCTGGAAAAAAGCTTGCATTTTCGGTACATATTTATTTTTGTTATCATTTACTACCTGGTTAACGTTTAATGATAATTTTCATCATATAAAGATACATTTTCAGGTTCCACTGGTGCCGTTTCTACCCGCTCTTAGTATTCTTATTAATATATATCTTATGATAATGTTGGACAAAGTTACATGGGTGAGATTTTTAATATGGATGGGAATCGGTAAGTAGATGACGTAAAAAGAATCGACGATTTTACACTAAATATTTAAATTAACGAGTCTTTTAATTCTCGTAGGTCTTGTAATATATTTCTCTTATGGCATTTGGCACAGTAAAATGCGAAAAGATAAATGCGAAAAATCACCTGAAAACAACTGCGCTAACGGAGAAGAAATATGGATGACCGACGAATTTCTTCGATTCGAATGACACGCTACATATTCTATCTCCGTAACCAAATTTTTCTACACACGTAGAGATAGCTAATTAGTTGATTCAACTGAACGTAATTAAACGATAATGAGATGATTGAAATACGTGAAGACAGACATCCTTTACGCTATAAACGAGTTTATTAGAAAAGTATAAAAAAAAAGACTTAAACTTTAAAGAGCAAACAGAGACTTAAGGTCATTGAGCGTGAGTTTCGAAGTAGCCAAGTTCTTATCACCACTGAGCACATTTTGAGCTATTTCCAATTTCTTATCTTGCAAATGTTTTATACGCTCTTCTATCGTGTCCTCGCATATAAATCTGAGGAACGATGCATCGAGTAAATAAATTATCGATTATTATTAAACATTCGAATAATAACAATATACTAACTTGTATATGAAGACATTTTTTCGCTGTCCGAAACGATAAATCCTATCTTGCGCCTGCACTTCTAATTGTGGATTCCAATGAATGTCTATTAACAACAAATGATTTCCACCTACTAGGTTTAACCCAACACCTCCAGCAGTAAGCGAAAGCAATAGTATTTTCGGATCGCTGTTTGGAGTGTTGAACGAATCCATTATACCCTATAAAAATATCCTGTATATTTCAGATAATCTCGACCTCGACATGATCGAAAATTAACATTTTGTTATAAAACTACCTGTCTTTCCTTGATAGGTACATTGCCTGTAAACATATTAAAACTGGCGCCTTTTATTGAAGATAAACAAAATGCGATAATATTCAGCAGACCTGTCCATTGAGAAACAATAATCATTTTATCATTTTTTTGCAGAATTTCCTCGACCTTATTAAGCACCATCTTTATCTATGTTTGAGACACGAATATACACAAATTAAATATAAACCAACTAATGTCAAATAAACAGGTCGTGTTTTATAATTGAAAATGTGTTAGATAACTTACCTTAGAACTTGGGCGATCGGCCATAAACACAGGATTCTTAGAGGTCAATAGATTGCTAACTACTCTGTGATCAACCCCTATGTCTGTACTTATTTCAGCTTTATCATCCGAGTCTTGCAACGTTATATTATTTATTTGGGATAATAAATCCGGATCGAAATTTTCTGTCTCCGTTATTCCACTTTCCTTCATATATTCCTGATCTAGCATTGAATTAATAAGCGACGGGTGAACACAAATTTGACGTAATCTCAGTAGAAGAACCAAAATTTCGTGTGTTTTGACGTCAGCATGTAACGACAACAATTTGTTTTGCGCCTTTGTGAACTGAGTATTTTTATCTGAATAGAAAAGGCAAGAAATTATTTTCATAGCGAGCAATTTTAATATAGTACTTACTTGGATTCGAAAGAAACGTTGGTTTATCGTATTTTCCAACAGCTAAATCGACCATATGATCTTTCTCAGATCTTTGAGCCAAGAACTGAGCAAATAGTGTACGAGAATAAATCAACACTTTCTCATACACCAACTGTTCCTGCGGATCGAGCTTTACAAGTATCACTTCCACAAATTTTTCTGGAAGACTTTCTAATTCGCCATTAGCTTGAAGTTCCTGTTTTGTTCTACGTAACATTAATGTTTTCATCACAGTTACCAATCGCTGACGACCGGCTGCATTTTTGTTATCTACCCAACGTTTCCATACTCGTAGGTCATTGAACGGAGAACACTGAAGGAATTTCAAAATAGAATATAAATCCATTTCCTTATTTTGAATAGGTGTTCCAGTGAGAGCCCACCGTTTACTCGCTACAAGGCCACACACCGCTTCAGATGCCTGACTTTTATGATTTCGAATTATATGTGCTTCATCGAGTATAATGCGTTCCCAATAAATTCGATATACCATGGACATGGTTTTAAATTCACGCGTGAGTATGTTATATGTTGTAATAACTACATTGTTTTTTGCTAATCTTTTTGGCACATTTTCCCGATTTGTACCATGATAAATTTCAACGGAGAGCATACCACGTTTACATTTGTGCTTTATTTCATTTTCCCATTGTGATAACAAAGACGCGGGACAAACTACAAGCGTACCTCCTTTATGTCGTAACGGTACATTATGGTCCATCCATTTCTCGTCATCGCATGTTTCTGTTTCTTGTAACTTTCTTTTAGCAATACTGGCTATAATCAAGGATATCATTGTTAAAGTTTTACCCAAACCCATATCATCAGCGAGAACACCACCAGGAGGTCTTTGTTGCTCTCTCCATATCAACCACGCCAATGCATGTTGCTGATGTGGCATTAATTTTACTCTCAAGCCTTGTGGATCTTCTGCCCTCTCCTCCTCAGTTGGTCTAGCAACAAGAGATCCGTGCAAATCTTGCAATCTATCAATTGTCAAAGCTAATTCTTTATCTAACGTTGCCTGAGCTATTTTTCCAAGTTCTTTATCTTCTGAGGATATTTTTGGTTTTGTCAATATATTATCTGGATCATAATAAGAATCAAATTTATCAGAATATGAGTCTTTCTGAGTAGTAAATTCTTCCTTGATGGATGATATTTCTTGCTTCATACATTGTGGTTCAGCTTTAATAATTTGCGTTAAAGGTGTATTTTTCAGTTCAAGTTCAATTGCTTCTATTTCTCTTTCTTGCATTGCAATACTTTCACATAATTTTTGTCCTTTATCTGGTAATAAACTAATATTACCAGAAGTGTACAATAGCTAACAATAATATGCAATTAAAATGTATATTTTACTTTCTCATTTATAATTAAAAACCATTGAATTTACCTTTGTCTTGCTTAACTGATTTTGTAACTGGTCCATTTTACAAACAAGAAGAGCTCTTTTTTGTGCAGCCAATGGATCTGTATTACCAGGACCAATTTCTCGTTTTGCTAAAGACATTGCAGTTTCAGATTGCAAATTATTTTCATCATCTATCTGACAATCTAAAAATTCATTTGACTTCAATATAATAATCTCAAGATGTATAATATTTTAAAATGAGAAATCGCATAGGTACTTATACCTGAATCCGTTGAAAGACCCGAATTTCGGTCTTTTGCACTTTCTTCTGAGACATATCCTTCAATCATATTGTTATCGCTGCATATACCTTCAGATGTATTAGAAACCTTGGCTTCTACATTTTGTTCTTTTTGCTTTGAAACACTTTCTACTCCTTTATCCTTCTTTATTTTGTAATTGTTTTCCACTACTTGTTCAGCATCATTATTATCATCATCATCGTCATCAACTAATAAATATAACAATTATAATATTAAATTTAAAATTATTCTATTTAAGAAAATACAATACCAGCTGACACATCATCATCAGTATCACTAGATAAAACAAAATTATTTTCATTATGATTATTGGTATATTCCTTGTCAGAATAATATGAAATATGCTTCCTAATTTTATGCTTGATCGCTTTCTCCGTCAATGATAATTTTCCGGATGAAGAAAGTCTTAACCTTAAAAAATAATTTCATGTTAAACGTTAAAATAATATGATATAAGGTAAAGTTAAGCATATGTAAAAATAATTAATTTCTGGAACAGATTTCTTACTTTTCCGGTGTTAAATTTGCAGAAACATTTCCACTACTTTCACTACTTTCAATCACAAAAATCTGCTGTTTCTCATTATTTTCGTTAATATCTTCGTCGCTATCCGAAATAACAAAAGACTTATCTTTTGTAATGCAAGACGAATCGCGCCACTGACTGAAACTTTCGTCCATTCTATAAATTTTGTTAATTTCATCTAATCGTATAGAACTATCAAAAGTTAAATATATAGGATATGCATAAATATTTAATACTTACTGCAGAAAGTAAACTACTTTGTTGGAAAATAATTTAACCGAAACTTTTTTGAATTGACAAATATGTTGTGAACATGAACTATACAATAATATAGTATGACGTATTATTTTTATAATAGAGTCATAATAACATTTCGCACATTAATAGCAATGTTAAATTAAAAAATAAATAAATAAAAATATATTCGGAAAATATTTATAAATTAAAAGTCGATAAAAGTCAAAATTTTAACCGATATCGCAGTGGTTCTCTTTTACTAGGGTTTCTCACATAGAGATATGAAGGCTCTGATAATTTCCCTATTAACGAGATTCCTTGGTTTAGTTGGATCCGACGTTAAGTCCTTGCTCTTGTCTCGTCCCCGAACGTCGGAGTTGTTACGGGTTATAATAAGTTTTGTCATTTTAAAGAATAACTTGTCGTCCAAAAAATGGCTGATTTTTTAGATTCAGAAGCAGAAGAAAGTGAGGTATTTGTATCGTTAAATTTATGTTCATTACATGTATAATATTGTTGCAATAATATCATTAAAGTATGTACACATATGCGTGTGTGTGTGTGTGGTGTGCGTGCGTGCGTGCGTGTGTGTATACATATATATATATATATATATATACACATTTTATTCATCTAAAAATTATGTTACTAATCGATGTTCTATTACAATTTAGGAGGAGGAAGAATTAGACGATAATGAGAAAAAGAAATTGAAAAAAATAAAAGCTGTAGAAGAAAGTGAAGAAGAGGAGGAGGAAGGTCAGAATAGAGTAATACATTCTAAGATTATATTATAATTTGTTGTACAGATTTTTTTAAATATTTAAATATAACAATAATTTCTTTATTTTATTGCATAATTATTAAACCATAATAATATGTTTATGACCCGTTTACAGATGATGAAGATCGTTTACGCGAAGAACTTAAAGATCTTATAGATGATAACCCAATAGAAGAAAGCGAAGGGGAAGACAGCGATGCTTCTGGAGCATCCAAAAAACGTAAAAAAAGTGACGATGAAGATTTTGATGATCGTTTAGAAGATGAGGATTATGATTTAATAGAAGAAAATTTAGGAGTCAAAGTTGAGCGAGTATGTGCAAATTAATTAATTCATTGTGACACATAAGATTGCACAGATAAAGTAACATGATTCTTTACTTTAGAAACGTTTCAAACGCCTCCGCAGGATTCAAGATGAGGAATCAGAGGAAGAGCAGGAAAAAGAAGTGGATGATGATAGAGATGCTATTGCAAATGAACTTTTTGAAGGCTCTGGTGATGTAAGTTGCATTTTTAATATATATATATCTTGCACTAAAATTTTTCCTTTCCCTGTATTAAGTTCCTAATTTTTACGCTTATTTTTACACTAACATTAGGAAAGGGAGATTACCATGGTATGTACAGATAGATATAAAATATTCTTCTAAGAAAAATTATTTGGATTCTTTTATCTTTTATCTCTACAGTTTATTTAATTTTTGACTTTTATTATGCACTAGGAAGATGAAAGGAGAAGCGAACGTAGTCACAGACCTGAAGTGGACACATTTGATGAAGAAGGAAGTGAAGGAGAGTACACAGACGCTGACGATTTTATTGTTGATGATGATGGTAGACCAATTGCTGAAAAACGTAAAAAGAAGAAGCCAATTTTTTCCGATGCTGCTTTGCAAGAAGCACAAGATATTTTTGGTGTCGACTTTGATTATGATGAATTTGGAAAATATGGAGAGGAGGACTATGAGGAAGAAGAAGAAGAGGAAGAAGAAGAAGAGGATGAATATGTGGATGATGAAGATACCGAAAGACCGCGCAGACCGAAAAAACAATTGAAGAAGAAAACTACCAGGAAAAGTATTTTTGAAATTTACGAACCAAGTGAACTTAAACGCGGTCATTTCACTGATATGGATAATGAAGTACGAAACACAGATATACCAGAAAGAATGCAGCTACGTACTGTTCCTGTTACACCAGTTGCAGAGGGTTCTGATGAGCTAGATTTAGAAGCAGAATGGATTTACAAACAAGCTTTCTGTCGTCCAACTATCTCGATTCAAGACGCACATTTAAATGCTGAAGCTAAAGAAAGAGCTCGAAAGGGTCCACAGACGATCGGTAAAATTAAAAAGGCTTTAGATTTCATGCGAAATCAGCAGTTCGAGGTACCTTTCATATCCTTTTACAGAAAGGAATATGTGCTTCCAGAACTCAATATTAATGATCTTTGGAAAGTGTACAAGTTTGATGCAAAATGGTGTCAACTTCGCCAGAGGAAAGAGAATTTATTAAAATTATTCGATAAAATGAGAAATTATCAATTAGATGAAATTATGAAAAATGCTGATGCCCCTTTATCAGATAACGTACGATTGATTAAAGATGATGACATAGAACGGTTGAAAAATGTGCAAACCAGCGAGGAATTAAACGATGTTTATCATCATTTCATGCTATACTACAGTCATGAGATTCCAACGATGCAAGAAGCTGCTCGTCAGAAGGAGAAAGAAGCGCGTAAAGAAGCAAAAATTCAGAAAAGGAAACAACAAATTGCAGATGCCGAAGAAAACGGAGAAGATCCTCCACCGGAAGAGGAAGTAGATGCAGAGGAAGAAGAAGAAGCGGATGATACATTGAAACAAGCGGTTCGAACTGGTCCATATTCTATTTGCAGACGCGCTGGTCTTGATAGCCTTGCAAAAAAATTCGGTCTTACTCCAGAACACTTTGCCGAAAATTTACGAGATAATTATCAACGACACGAAGTAGATCAAGAACCAACGGAACCTTTGACCATTGCTAATGACTATTGCAGTCAAATACTTAATAGCCCAGAAGAGGTCCTAAAAGCTGCTCAGTTAATGGTTGCTATTCAACTAGCACGTGAACCTTTGGTAAAAAAGTGTGTTCGAGAAATGTACATGGAAAGAGCAAAAATATCCGTAAAACCTACTAAAAAAGGAATCAAAGAAATAGATGAAAACCATCCAATTTATGGAATGAAGTATCTGAAGAATAAACCAGTACGTGATCTCGTCGGAGACCATTTTTTAAATTTGATCATAGCGGAAGAAGATAAATTAATCACGATAACATTAAGCGATAGTATCGAAGGAAATACTAGTAACAACTACGTTGATGAAATGAAACAGCTTTACTACCGAGATGAGTTCAGTAAAAATGTTCAAGACTGGAATACATTGAGAGTTGGGAGTGTTGAAATGGCGCTTACGCGTATAGTTCTGCCAAGCCTGAAAAAAGAATTAAGAGCGAATCTTATTGCGGAAGCTAAGGAATGCGTAATGAGAGCATGTTGTCGTAAAATGTACAATTGGATCAAAGTTGCTCCTTATACTTGTGAATTTCCGGAAGAAGAAGACGAAGAATGGGACACTACCAAGGGACTTCGTGTTATGGGTTTAGCTTATGTTCCAGATTACTCTCAAGCTGCATTTACTTGTCTAATCGCACCGGACGGAGAATGTACAGATTATTTAAGATTACCGCATCTGATGAAGCGAAAGAATGGCTATCGAGAAGATGAGAAAGCCATGAAAGAGGCCGATTTGTTGGCTGTCCGAAATTTTATAGCAACGAAGAAACCGCATGTTATAGTAATAGGCGGTGAATCGAGAGAGGCAATGATGATTGCGGTTGACATTAAAGAATGTATCGCGAACTTGGTAGAGGAAGAACAATTTCCTAGCATTCAGATAGAAATTTGCGACAATGAATTAGCTAAAATTTACTCGAACAGTAATAAAGGTGTATCCGAATTTCGAGATTACCCAGAGCTATTGAGACAAGCAATATCACTGGGCCGAAGAATTCAAGACCCTTTAGTGGAATTTTCACAGTTATGCACCGCCGACGAGGAAATTTTATGTTTAAAATATCACAGTTTGCAAGATCAATTACCAAAAGATGAACTTTTGGAGAATTTATATTTGGAGTTTGTAAATCGTGTAAACGAAGTTGGCGTTGACGTAAACAAGGCAGTACAGCAAGCTTACTGCGGAAATTTGGTTCAATTCGTCTGCGGCTTGGGGCCTAGAAAAGGGCAAGCTTTAATTAAAATGTTGAAGCAAACCAATCAAAGATTGGAGAATAGAACGCAATTGGTAACTGCTTGCCACATGGGACCTAAGGTCTTTATTAACTGTGCGGGTTTTATCAAGATAGATACGAATAGTTTAGGAGACAGTACTGAAGCGTATGTAGAAGTTCTCGATGGCTCTCGAGTACATCCAGAAACGTATGAATGGGCGAGAAAGATGGCAGTTGATGCTTTAGAATACGATGATGAAGATGCTAATCCTGCTGGAGCTCTTGAAGAGATTCTTGAATCTCCTGAGAGATTGAAAGACCTTGATTTGGACGCGTTCGCAGAGGAGCTCGAAAGACAAGGTTTTGGCAATAAATGCGTCACATTATACGATATTAGAGCAGAATTAAATTGCAGATATAAAGATTTACGTGTACCGTATCAATCGCCAAGTGCGGAAAGGTTGTTTGATATTCTAACGAAAGAAACTCCGGAAACATTCTACGTAGGCAAATTAGTCCTGGCTACGGTAATAGGCATAAGCCATAGAAAACCACAAGGTGATCAATTGGATCAAGCGAATCCTGTAAGAAACGACGAAACTGGATTGTGGCAATGTCCATTTTGTTTGAAAAACGACTTTCCGGAACTGTCTGAAGTATGGAATCATTTTGACGCCGGAGCTTGCCCCGGCAAAGCTACTGGCGTGAGATTGAGATTAGATAATGGAATATCTGGTTATATTCATATAAAAAATTTATCCGACAGACACGTTGCGAATCCTGAAGAAAGAGTGAGCATAGGACAAATAATACATTGTCGAGTAATAAAGATCGAAGTGGAGCGATTCAGCGTCGAATGTACAAGTAAAAGCAGTGACCTCGCGGATAAAAATCACGAATGGAGGTACGAAAGTATGCCTGCTTAAAAATTTTACTCGTATAATATTTCAACGTAAGATCGTGCTATCATTGAACATTTCTTTGCTTTCAGACCACAAAGAGATCCGTTTTATGATACAGAAGCAGAACAGAGAGATGCAAAAATCGAAGAAGATGCTAAAAAAGCGAAGCAACGACAGACGTATGTAAAACGAGTAATCGTGCATCCTTCTTTTCATAACATCAGTTTCGCAGAAGCTGAAAAATTAATGCAAACTATGAAACAAGGCGAAGCAATAGTTAGACCGAGTAGCAAAGGGGCTGATCATTTAACAGTCACGTGGAAAGTTACTGATGAAGTTTATCAACATATCGATGTAAGAGAGGAAGGAAAAGAAAATGCCTTTTCGCTTGGTCAAAGTCTATGGATCGGAAATGAAGAATTCGAAGATTTAGATGAAATTATTGCGAGACATGTTAATCCTATGGCTGCGTATGCGTCGGAGTTATTGGATTTTAAATATTATAAACCAACCGTAGAAGGCATTAAAGACAAGGCGGAAGACATATTAAAAGAACAAAAAAAAGAAAATCCTGGTGGAATTCCATATATAATATCCGCTGCAAAGGTTGGTAATAATAATTTTCTTCTTCGAACATATAGATACGATTCGAATATTTGGTGTACGTTTTCACATCGTTTCAGAATTATCCTGGAAAATTTTTGTTATCTTATCTTCCGCGAACTCGATGTCGTCACGAATATGTGACGGTATCACCAGATGGATTTAGGTTTAGAGGACAAATGTTTGGTAGAGTAAATGACTTGTTTCGATGGTTCAAAGAACACTTTCGAGATCCAGTGCCTGGGCAATCTACACCTAGTACTCCACGTGGTGCAATGACATCTAGAACACCTTATCATACAACGCCAGGAGCAGTTAGTGGTACGTATCTGAATTTCGATCAATTTTATCGAAACTGTTTAATATTAACATTTTACTACGGTGTTACAGGCATGAATCAAGAAGCTATACAAAGAGTGGCGCAAAATCTTCCGCATCATATGTTACATTCTTTATCGCAAGTGGCGAATCAAACTCCGCATCACTATCCACCACATACACCAGGAACTACGAGTGCCGCTGGTTATGGTGGAGTTCACACTTATCCTAACACACCTTATACACCTTCTGGACAAACACCTTTCATGACACCATATCAAACGCCACATCATACTCCACATCATCATGGTCAACCGACTCCAAGATGTGGGCAACAAACACCTAATCATCAACAAGGTCCTTTTATTCATCCACCTCCACCGTCGGGAATAACTGCCCCAGGACATCACAGATCGACACCGTCGCATAGACCTACCCCTCCTATGTCGACACCTGGCGATCCAATGGACTGGAAAAAAGCGGCAGAGGCATGGGCACGATTAAAAAGCGGTCCGCGTGTGTCGTAAGTACTGCTGTTTTTTTTTCTTTTTTTTTCTCTTTTTTTTTTTTTGTTGTGTATTATTTTATATGTTAATATTAATGAAGCTGTAACTTCTTCATTATTTTCATTTTTCCCATTTTGTAGTGCTTCTACTCCGAGATATGAAGAATCTAGGAAAACTCCAAGAAATTATGACGAATCAGTTGGAAGAACAACCCCGCGAAATAGAATTTCGAATCGGACACCTTCTTATAAATCTCCTCGTGGTACTCCACATACCAATTCTAGTCCTCGGAGTATGTCTCTTAGTGGAGACGGTACTCCTTTATATGATGAAAGTTAACGAGTTCACGTATACGTAATAAATTATTCTTTTCCATTATATCGTGTTATATGATATAAAAGGAATGATATCAACAGAACTTCAGAATCATATTGCATTGAAAATGCTCTTAAACGACACTGTATAAAACTGTTTGCCAAGCCCACTTATCAATTTTAATTATATCGTCTTTTATGTTAATGTAAGCAAAACAAACTGACATATTTTGAGTATATGCTTGCCTAGTGTATACTTGTTAAATTCTGTACTCGATTGTCTTTAAAAGATATATATTGAGTGCAATGTAAAAAATTAAAAACTTTGAATTTTACTTATTATCATCATATGCTAATTCATATCGAATCATATATTAATATTAATATGTATAACATATTTTTATTTGAGTTTTAGTTTTATTGACACCAAGTTATTGTACAGTTCTTATGCTTTTAACTTAGGAACGCAACAAGTTTCTTACATACTTTATACAATTGTTAAATTACACCATTAAACAATAAACCAATTTTATCTTGTAATTTTAATCTTTCTACTAAGATTCTAATAATCCTTTCTCTACTCAAACGGAAATAAAGATCAACTTGTTGAAGAAATAAAATTGTCCTTTTTTATTTAAGAATATAATTAAAAACTTACAATGTGTTAGTCGTAACTATAAATACACTATAAATAAAGCTTACTTCGTATAGTATTTCTTTATAATACGTGAGAAACTTGATCATCGGATAATATGTCATCTTTATCTGGAATATCTTGATAATACATATATACATCATGATATTTCTCAGCTGAAGACTGATGATTCCTAGGTTTAAATAAATATACCGTATTAATATTATCGAATGCAAGATAATAAAACTGATACTAACAGTGTACTTGCAAATTACCTTTGCTTGGATGGACTGATAAGAGATGTATTTGGTTCAATATTTTTTCTTGCTCTTAATTTTTTTGTTATCGATTTTTCTGCCGCTGTATTAAGCTTCTCCTAGAAAAATCATATAATTAAATATTTAATAGTTTTATAAGATATCTTTTAGGAAGTATATCATAAAGAAATTGCATACCAAATTTTCAATATTTATGAATTCTGTATTCTGTTTATCCATTACATTAACCGCATTGCGTGTTATCTTAACCGTTTTCTGTTATTAAAGTAAATATGATGAATGAGTAAAGAAAAAGAAAAGGAAGGCAATATTACCAGACAAGCAGTAGAACTTTCATCATCATTGGAATCACTTAATTCTTTTACTTTTTGTGAAGTCCTTCTCTTATTTTTCATTACAAATTTTTTGGATTTATTACCCTCTGTCTTTCTCAATTTCTCTGGTGAGCCTGTGCTTGCATCCTGCAATATGAAATTTAAAATATTTGTTGTAAAATATAATATAATATAATGACATCCTAATTCATAGTGACAAATACCTCAGATTCATAAAAACTGCTTTTCTTACTGTTATTCTTTCCTTGCTTTCCCTTTTTAATATTTTTACCTAAAATTTCACGAGAATTATTTATTAATCCTGGTTCTTGGGAAGAACCAGGATCATATACTAGATCGTTATCTTTCAAAACAATGCGTTCTCCTAGAAACCAAAATAAATAAATCATACGTTTATTTTTACATATAAGAAAATATAAATCTTCACTTTTACCTGTCCAATAACTTAATGATGGTATTACCCTCCTACCTTTCGAACTTACACTAACATTTACAGTATCCACTAATGAAGCATTAAGCTTTTCTGACGCACCCACGTAATCGATAATATTATCTTAGGCATAAATAAGTTTTATTTAGAATTTAAAATTAAACTCAATATCATTTGCTATTTATTATGAATTACTATGAATGACTATTTACTATTAACATACTATTTTTTATTGATTTCCATGTTCTACAAAACTGTTCTATCCTCGTAGGACAACCATAACGACATTGCAGCAATAATTCTTTAGGTATAACTATAAACAATGACATAATTAATATATAAAATGTAATCATACATATGTACGTGTTATTGAATGTTATAATTCATATTCTAACCATGTTTTGAATTACTGAAGTCGCCAATTAATTCATAAAATTCATGATGAACTGTCTCGACCAGTTTTGGTGATATTCGACGAAGTATTATGTCCGTTTTAAAACGTCTATTTACAACGTGGCCAGCCTCGCTATATAAACATAATAATACATTTCATATTGAATTAGCAATCTGTAATATATAATTTAATGCTTACTTTAATAATTTTCCCTCAAAAATTAAATGCAGTCCTGATTTGCATACAACTCTTGGAGTCCAAGCAGATAATAATTTAGGTTTACACTTATTTGCAGATTTATTACCTTCTGAAATTTTAAAATTATCCTGTAATGATTTTTTCGAAAGAACAGAGTCCATGTTACTCAATTGATCTTTAATGTGTTCTTCAGAATATCGTTTACTGTTAGGCAATAAATTTGAGCTTTTTTTTCTGACAGCATTAAATTTTACAGGAGACTCTTTATGTGTCAAACTGCTACTCTTGTTTTCCTCATCTAATTCTTGAATTGCTATACTTCTATTCTCAATCAAATTTACCTTCGAATTTTGTAATTGTATATTTCTAATTTTTATATCAACAGGGACTGAGCTAATAACAACTGGTTTTATTGTTTCACTTATATTTCTTAAACCAGATGAAAATTCTTTGTATTGCTGACAAGATAAATGATTTTGTTCCTGATCATACATATCTTTCTTTTCTTCTTCATTGCAAGCTTCTATGCAAGAATTTGCTTCTATCATTTTATTCTCAGACCTTTTGGTTACAGCAATCTTACATTCATTCTGTTCAGTGACTTTGTAAGTATCACACTGATAATTGATAGGTCTATGAATAACTACTGAATCTTTTTGTACAAAATTTTCTTTTATTTTGTGTGAATGTTTACCTTTTATAAACTCGCTTGAATCTACCCATTGTCTTTTTTCCATAGTACCATATTCTAAATGTTGGTCAGGTTTACTTTGAATATTTGAATTAACATATTCTTCCACTTTTAAATGATTTCTCTCATCTGCCATAATATTACTACTAGAATTATTGAATTTTGTACCACACTGGTTTTCAGATTTTCTCTTTATATAACTTTCATTAGTACAGTCTGATGTGATTATGGGTATGTTTGAAGTACTTGGTTTTTCCAGTATATCACGTTTCCGATGTATCTTCATTTCTCTTATTTTACGTCTATAAGGTTTTAATAATGTTTCCTTCTGTCGTATTATCCGTTTTATCCTTGGGATTCCTGCATAAATTTCACTTTCGCTATCAGAAGTACAGCTATTATCTGTAATCATTTCTGTAAAAGATCTTTTCTTTTGCAATAAATTATTGGAATCTATAACTTTATCATCTACAGAACTTTGCAATGGAACTGATTCAAACTGGACATTCTCCTGAGACTTGTCATTTACTTTATTACTTCGTTTTTCTTCTAAATGCCTATTCTCCATCAACTTTGAATCTTCTACATTAGATTCGTCTTCTTTAATTGAAATATGTGATACAACGTAATTTAAACAATCAACTACCTCAATAATTTTACTAATGTCCTCTTGAGAATAATTTTTATCTGTTAAGTTATTTATGATAACATTTAGTTTATCCTTCAATTTACTTGGCTTATTTTTAACGCAACAGCAATTCAAATTTACATTTTCTTGCTGTTTATAATTTTCCTTATCATTATCATACTGTTCATTTGTCAAAGATTGAATGTTGGCTTTACTACAAGATGACTTTTCAATTTCATCAGATATACATGTTTGTATAAATGAATTGCACTTTCCATTATGTACATGAAGATTGTGTTCATTTTGCATTTGCACAATATTATTGGTACACTTAAAATTGACTGGTGCTTCAAGTGTATAAGGTTCTTCGACAGATTTAAAATTTGATATTTTATTTTTATGACTTTCTGAAGAAACAAATGTAAAATCTGTTGCTTCACTTTTGATATCATCATCACTGTCTGTAATAGGAGTAGGCCAACGAAAATTGAATCTACATCCTTGCAGCACAAACGTTTGCCAAACTTGATGGACATTTTCCCAATCATCAGGAAAGCCATTGTAAAATTTACCTCTAACATAGTCTGGTAACTCTAAATACAAAAGATAAAATTAAATATATACATAAAGTATATATCTGTATATTCAAATATTAGAGAGTACTTACCATCTTCATCATCAACAATATTTCCTTGCAAGTGGTACAAATGTTTAAAAACAGATTCAACATGAGTATTTGTTAATCTCCTTATAATAGGCTTACTCCAAGCAATTGTTTCACTAACATAATACAAAAAATGATAAGTAAGTGCAATAATACAAAGTATGTAGTGAATATCTTACCAGTCAACTTTTCCTTTAATAATCAATTGGCCTTGTTCATTTAACACAACTTTCCATTTTGTAAATAATATAATATTCCTATTTTGAACATTTTTAGAATTAGTTTGTAGTTTATAATTTTGTTTTTCCTTAAGTGAATCAATAACATTATCAAAGGGTCTACATATATTCTGTGGTGAAGATTTTGCAATAGTATATGTTTCTATGTTATTTGGTTTCTTAGAATTATGGATACAACTATCAGACTTTGGTGGTGGCATTCTAAGACGATCTACCCGACAATCATTTTCAATATTAAACTTCTTAATGCTTGATGTGGCAATTATTTTATGATCACTGTTAATGCTATTTCTTTTCAAAAGTATATTTCTCAAATTATTACTTGAAGAAACAACTTCACTACCAATTTTTAAAGTATGTAAGAAAGGGTTATTAGTACTAGAATCAATTGGATCTGCATTAATGCTAGAAATACTAGGAGATGTTGATGATGCGCATGATTCATGTATTTCTCGGTTTTTCATATTCAATGAAGCAAGTTTTAATGTTCGTTCTAATCTTTTATATCTTTCCTCCATTTGAAGATTACCAAAGTTTATCTATACCAATAAAAATAAATTTTAAAAGTATTAAAAAATGAATTATTAAAACAACACATTAAATAATAATTACCTCAGTCATGTTTGTCAATTAAAAATTTCAATATTAATATTAGCTATTCTCAGGTATATATCTAACATCTATTTGTTTACTATCAATTTTTCTTTTCTTCTCCAAAATTTTGTTTATAACACTTGTTCCTTTGCATAAAATCTAGATAAAAACATATCACAATAGAGAAATTACTCATAAAATATGTAGTATAAGGATCTCAGTTTACGTACATTTAAATTTCTCAACATTGTAGTATAAATTAATAATTATAAAAAGTGGCAAATAAATTGAAATATTTTTTATACTCTAAGACATTAATCCACTTACGTATTTTTGACCCTTTTTTTCTCTTTATACCTAAATCACTTAATTTTCGAAGCGTGCACCAATTTAAACACACTACGAAACCGTTTTAGCTTCACAGTGGTTCTCAAATAAATTTATGATGTACATATATGAGTATCAAGTATAAGTCCACTTTCGATTCATTTGCGTATTATACGACTTAAATTACAAAGATTATCGTTTTGGTATCATTATCTATGTTACCGATTTAATATATATTAATATTAAAATATCGATAATTAACATGTTCACATTGTTATAAATTTTTAGTTGCATAAATTGTTAACCAAACTTATACCTTATTGCTAGATACATACAGTTCAAGAAATTGTTCGTTAAATATACACCATACATCATACTCCATTTTAACCTTATGTTTAAAATTATTTAAAGCTAGAGAAACATTTAAATACAGAATGTCTGATAATTGCTAGTATAATCAAACAGATGCGTATGTATAAAAATAAAGCTACGAAAAAAAAAAAAAAAAAAAAAAAAAAAAAAAAAAAAAAAAAAAAAAAAAAAAAAAAAAAAAAAAAAAAAAAAAAAAAAAAAAAAAAATAGTATCCTTTTGTGAAAATTCTTTATTGTAAACTTTTCTTCAATTTTATATTAATTGTTCTTATTAAAATATATAAAAAAATATAAAAACACAAACTTTTTATCTATTATTTATTTCATACACATGTCTTACCACGAACCGTAATTAATCGATAAAAAGACAATTACATGATATATTTACAAATGAAGTTATTCAATTGTGTGATTTGGATTTGAGAATGATGGTCGTAAGTAAAAAAATAAAGAAATAGAGAATAAAACATTTGATATTTAATTATTATTTTATGATCATACTAAATAAATATTACGAAAGAACCGGGAGTCTACGCCTGAATTTCTTGATGTCACATCAAACTATCTAAGGATTGGTTAATGCTTTAGTAATAACTTTGCAATCTGTTGCAATAAATTGTTAAAATAAATTAACTGTTTTAAAAAAATATTTAACTAAAGATACCTAAACAGATTATAAGGTATCATAAGCATGCATAAAAATATGACAAAATTATAATGAAAATATAAGAAATATCTAAATTGTGTTGGTAACTTTAGCAATTTTAAAAGCAAGCGCGCAAAGATATAGATTGTCAGATTCTATTCAGGTACGCAGGACAAAACTTGTAGGACACTTACATTTTTACGGACGTAAGTATTGATCCAGTGATGCTTATCAAATGGTAATATACCTTGATCATACTGGTGTGTGTATCAATGTCATAATATGATGTTTCTTGAAATATATTTTTTTGTTAATCTTCACAGATAGTAATTTTCTAAATTATATGACTTTTTATTTTTAATACGTTAAATTTTATCGTGTTAAATAATCGTAGTAAAAATCATTTTCTTTCAAAATATTTTTATATAAATAAATTCCTAGTTAACTCTTTGTTTAAAAGACTTTAGTATTTATGTAATCTTCTCCCATATAATACAAAAATAAAACGATGGAAGATTATTAAAACAATTTCTTTTAAATATAGAAAATATTTATTGACTAAAATTCGCACACATATATGCATTCATAAGCGTGTATTTTTATCATTTATACATGCAAGTGTGAGTATGCTATTTAGGAGGGAACAATTTCGATTTGAAAGAATACTCTGAAGTATTTTTGATACGTTGTTAAAATATCGAGTTAAAATATCGATGCTAATTTAACTCCTGTTCAAAAACCGAAGAGAAGGCAATTTTTTAACTTTCTTCTATATTGTTATCCGAAAAAAATAGGTTTACATCTATTTTCCCGGAATTCGCACGTTTGATATATTTTTTTTACCATACTATCGCGTACACATATAAAAATTTGATTATCACTTTTATAAGACTACAATTCAACCAAAGAAGAATGTCTTTTATGATAGAAAATACATCAACCAATGAAATAAACAATAAAGACAGAGAACATTTTCTTTCATTAGAAGTGACTGAAGATTATAGCTTTAAGGTATTTGATATGTACACAAATTATATACAGATATATATATAGATATATATATCTATATATATCTATATATATATATATATATATCATTGAAATGATTAAAGAGGCAAGCACTATTAATATAAAAAAATCTTGCATTATAGTATATACCTGAAAGTCATTTTAAACACATAGTAAAAAATGTACAAAGGCATAGACGCAAAGAGGATGAGGAACGTATCTGGGCATCATTCGTTAAAGAACAAGAGTTAAATAATTTGAGGTTTAACAAAAAGGATGTTGACTACTCCGTTCAAAGTACAAAAGATCTATTGCAAGAAAATATACAAGATGTAGATAGAGAACTTAAAAGACTTGAAGAAGATACTCTTCCTGAGTGTAACAAAGGAATTCAAAATTATAAATCTAATATTACGAACAAGATGATTTATACAAAAGTAAATATATTTTATAATATGTATAGATAAATAAATACACACATGCGCACATTAATCAAAATAAATTTAATCTATATAAATTTATTTACATTAGATAAACAGCATAAAGAACAATTCTTCAAAGGAGAAAATGTTGACAAAGAATAAAGGTACATGCAGAACTAACATTTTAGTTCCAATTTCACAAGGCAATAATATTTCTATGTATAAAGAATCTGAAGAACATAAAACAGTTTTCAGATCTAAGACTAAAAAGTCTCTCTCAGATACTTCTATTATAGAGAAGAAATGTTATACAAATCAACTTCTTCACGCAACCAATCATTTTGAAAATAATTCTGAGACTGATTCAAGTAATAACAAAGATGATGTTGTTTATGTACAACCAGATCCAGTTACAATACAAAAACTTTTATTAATGCAAAAGAAAGTTGCTGAATTATTAGATGAAATTTCATTTAGATTATGCAGAATTCCTTTACCGGATGGTGATAATGATTTGAAAAGAAGACAACAACAAACACTGGAATTTGCTATAAGATTTTCAAGAAATTATTTATACAATCTTAATAGACTTGTTACAAGCATTCAAAGACATATAAAAGCTGTATCTTCCAGATCAGGATTAAAACAATGTTATAAAAATATTGCATTTCACCAAGATATGGTTAAACAAAAATTGATTGCTGCTCATCAATTATTAATACGAGCTCTAAGTGCTTATTATAAACATATTCCTAACTCTATTCTTGAAGGCCATTCTACAAAACTTCAGGATGTGTTACAAATTGTCTGTAACTTGATAAATATTTGTAATAAAGTTGAGATCTCCACTAATTATTTTTGTTCTGGAGATGCCACTATCATACCATTGGTAATTCTTAAAAAACTTTCTCTATTAATATTTATAGATCATTGGAGTTTATTTAAAGTCTTCAAGATAAATGTGATGTTATTTTATCTACATTAAAGTTAAATTTAGAAAGCAAACATGGATCCACAAATTACAAAAATGTTCAATCTATAGTAACCACAGCTCCACTATCCTTACCTAATAAAAGACATTCCAATCGAAAGAATTTATCTGGTCGATTAAGTATGTATAGTATGGATGTTAAAGTATCTAATGGTAAACAGAAAAGAAGAACTGATATAAGAAGAAAAAGTATATGAAAACTAAGGTTTTATATTGTTTGCTACATATTGCTTTAAATATATTATAAATTTAAGCATTTATTTTTCAGATTCTACTTACCAGAAAGAAAATGGAAATAATACTAAGGATATTAAACATTTGTATACACAGGATTATTCATTACCAGAATTACTCTATCCTAGTCCTATAACGCGTACATCATCTTCTAGAGAGATTGCTCAGATTGATCCTATAAAAAATATAAATTATTCAAAAGAAGATGACATTCAAACTATGATGGATGGATTAGTAATAGATTCTGACAATGTAAGACATATTAAGAATAACTCATATTAAGGGCTATTTAACAAAGAATTCATTTTATAAAATAGGATAGCAATATAGAAATTCAAACGAAACATAAATCAGCAATGAACAGTGAACCCATAACAATACAAAAAAATGCGTATACAAAGGTACATAAATCAAAAGATATAGAAAGCAAAGGGGTAAATATTAAAATAGAAAATGTTACTAACAAAAATGATTTGGTTAAGAAAGTCAGTACAATTCCTAAGGAACATTTGGCTACTCTAGCTCCTGTAATAAATGATTTAGTAACTCTTGTATCAAAAGAGGTAATATTTGCTTAATAATAAAGATGATATTGCAATTTAACATATATAATATATTATGAAAATTAACATTACTTAATATTTATTATTATAAATCACCTTATAGCAAAATAAACTTGACATGCCAACCGTTTCTGAAACACCTGTAGAAACATTAAAAGAATTTTTACAAAAATATGAATTTCCTAAAGACTCTGATACTAAAGTACTTTTAGCAAAAGATAATTATGAACAATCACTTAGGTAAATAGAACACTATAGTACAAATATATATTGATTAAATACAATAAAACTGAATATTTTATGCATTGAAACAGCTTACCTGAAATTCAAAAATGCGATGACAATGTACAATTGATTTGTATATCATCAATGGGAAAAATTTCTAAAACGACCCATTGTGATGCTTCATGTCAGGCAGATTATGAGATTGCATTAAAAGTAGGTACTATAAAATATATTGGAAAAGATACATAATATGTATAATAGATTGGAAAAAGATAGGATTCATATTTTTTTGTAACAAAATTCTAGATTATTGATGATAGTGTAATTCTGGATTCAAACATCAAAAATGAAATACAGCTTGTTATTTCAGAAGAAACTAAGTTACGATTTTTAACGTACAGATGTGAATATAAAAAACTATGTCAATCAAATCCCATGTATTCCAGCAATACACAAAACAAACCATGGGATATAGTAGCATGGTAAATATGCTAAATTACCTTTCATATACGAATATTAAGTAATAAAAACATTTTTACGCAGGATCTCTGATAAATTGGTAGAAGAATTAATAATTGAAATAACAAAAGAGTTACAAATGAGCGACATAATTAAGAAACTGTTTGAAATGGAATTTCAAGAATTGTAACAACATTTATTTATATGGCATTAAGACAGGAAATCATACAAACCAAGCAATTTTTCAAATATTTTTTTACTTAAAGTACAACTTTTTAAATAAATTATTTCTTTGTATACTAATGTGTAATTTATTTATTTTTCTATTTTAATTATATTTGTAAAAAATGAAATTAACGTTGAAATATTTCAATAAAATTATTCAATTGATAAATTAGTAATGGTGTAATATAAAAAGTGACTGTTAGAATTCAATAACATTAATGATAAAATTAAATAGAATTCAAAAGAATTAAGCAAATATATCTGTAATTTTCTGTAATTTAAAGGATAATTACGATAGTATGGATAATTGTATTTGTATAAAGAAATATTAGCGAGAACAAATCTATCGTATAATTTATTAGTAGTTTGGTACATCTGCAGTAGTACATAATTCTAGAAACGAGACCTTAGAAGGATTGGAGGTTAGTTTTATTATCAGTAATTAAACCACTCAACATAACTTAATTTAACTCAATTTAACGAAGAGAAGATAAAGAAATACTTACATTTTAGATTAAAACTATAAAATGAGACGCTCGATTTTAAAATTATACAAAGATTTGTTACGGTATGGCGACAATTTGAAATATACAGATAAAGAATACTTTCAGGCAAGGATTCGAGAAAATTTCAAACAAAATAAACACATCACTGATCAAGTAGAAATTGAATTTCAATTACAAGTAACTAATTGTAAAATATAATTCAGTTTTCAAATTACAGATACTTTTACTAAGAAAAATTAAACATAACCTAAAAATAATTTTATTATCTTGTGCAATCTTTTTCAGAAAGGACAACAATTTTTGCAGAATCAGCGAGTAATATAAGTCTATAATTTGATATCGTGAAATTAGATAAATATAACAATGTCTATTATAATGATAAAATTTTTAAGTAGAAATTATTCCACCCAATCTTATACACTATCATTAATTGATAAGAAAATGTTCGGATTTTTGGATTGTGAAATTAATAGTAAATTAAATAACCTATTAATTAATGAGAAACAAATTCGGTGTAAATCATATACTCGTTTCTTAGACTATTCAAAAGTACCTAAGCTTCAAGAAAACGATCTGGAAGAGCAACATGTGAAAGGATCTGGACCTGGTGGTCAAGCAACAAATAAGACGTGTAATGCAGTACTTTTAAGACATAAACCTACAGGATTAATTGTAAAATGTCATGAAACTAGAAGTTTATCTCAAAATAGAAAGATCGCTAGAGAAACATTGTTAAAAAAATTAGATAATTTAATTAATGGTCAGGAATCTCTACAAAATCAAACAGAACGTTTAATGAAAATAGATTCCATTAAAAAGAAACAGAAGAGGAAGAAACTTGTAGAATTAAAGAATGCATTTATAAATAGCGAAAATTTAAAAGAACTCTAGGTACTACGTAAGTTATTTCAAAACTTTATCTGTTTACATATTGTATGTATGTTGATTAATAAAATTTAAACTAGATTCAATACTACTTGATGGTAATTTTTATGTAATATATAATCAAATATGAGACAAGGGAGGTTAGGAGCATGTATAATCTCATTACTATTCTTAATGGAAAATTCATATCTTTAATAGTCATCTCTTTTTTGAAATCGTGAAAGGCTTACATTACTTTTCTTCGAAATAAAATATTTAGGTGGACCCTCGCGAGGGATTCAATATATATATATAATATAATAAATTGTGTATGTATATATATATTGAATTATGTATGTTACATTCAATGATACGTTTTGTAACAGAAAATGATTATTACGCTACAATAAAGCTTGTTTACATTGCGCATTTTAAAGCCTACTTTTGCGAGTGAAAATAATTTTTCCCACATGTACACGTTCTTGTATATATACCAAGATGAGTAAAATAAATGGAAGTACTTTGTTTAAACACGGATATACATACATACATACACAAACCTTCTGATTAAAAAACGCAGACTGCACAAAAAAAAAAAAAAAAAAAAGAAAAAAAATGAAAAAAAAAAAAACACTGTACAAAGTTCTTAATAGAACTCTTATCGGAGAAGGACATTGAGGAAAATATTAATAAAACCCTATTAATGGTGCGCCAGTAGTGTTAAATACTATTCTACATACACAAATATTTTATACATAATTTACATGTTGGTAAAATGTATAGATTAAATTTCAACAGCGAGATTATATAAAAAAATGAATCTCGATTTTGAAATTTAAGCTATAAAGAAAATCTTATCGAGGATTTCAGCTACTTTTTAACCACCTTCTGAACTGACCACGGCTGGTGGTCTTCAAACGTTTTTTCCGCGGCTGAACATCCGATCTCGGCGAACTGGAACTTCTTAACCGTCTGTTGCTTGCAATGGTTACCGAAAGAATACTGTGATCCATTTCAACTTGGTCATCGATCTTCATCATTCTAACAACTGGTTGAAATTCGATACTTGAACGCCTTTGTTCAAGTTCTGAAGTTGCTATAAGCGCAGGACTAACGCGTCCCGATAATGCACACTCGACTTCAGAATCCTGTGTTTCTGGTGATATGGTATCGGCCCGTTGTTTTATACCTCTTGCATTCTGTTGCCTTTTACACGTAATACTTAAATAGGAATCCTTTTTACAATTCTCATCTTCGAACACTGTGTCAGAAGATATATTACTTTTTCTCGTACGCTTCTTTGAGTAAATTCGTTTTCGCGGAGTTACTTTATTTCTTTTATATACGTTATTATGATGGTGGTGATGATGGTGGTGATGGTGATGGTGATGTTCAATTTCGGAATCAGAATTTTCAGAATGAGCTTCCTGTTGCCTCTTTCTTGGTAATCCGTTAGAGTTATGATGTTTCCTGGGAACAATTCTAGTTTCGGCATCCTTCCTACATAAAATCTCATGGTTTTCAAGTTCTACTCGGGATTCACAAGTTTCAGAGGATACGTTGTCACGTTGCCGTTTCTTGTTGGTTACATTTGAAATAAAGCGACGTTCCGATATGGAATGAACATCTTTTCGAAACACATTCTCATGATTTTCATCATTTCCGGGGTCATTTTCCGATATTTCTTCTATCTCTGATAAATTTTTTCTAAACCCATAGTCTTTATTTAACACGAAATTTCTGTCAGTCTCGTTGCATATATCAGACGTAAGCAAACCTGTGCAGGATTGAGCATTTGTTGTATGTAATATGGAATTATCGGGAACCTCTATACTTACATCCTTTTTTTCATTTTCCTCGTGACGCGTGTTAGAGGAAATATTCGAGGTATACATTTCGAATAAACGTCGATCATCTTTCCGCTGGCCAAAGCTTAACGACTGTTCATCTTGTGTGATATTTGTAATAGATGTACCCATTTTCATATTACCTTCTTCTGTTAATCTATTGGACATGCTTATGACCTGCATATTGCAATCTTTTTCATTTTGTTCAATATTCTTCTCCACTAAGTTTTCCCTGTCACAATTTATATCTGTTAGAGATTTATTTTGGAGTCTTCTCTTCATTTTAATCCCAGGCCACCCAGTTCTGTTTTTTCTCTTCTTTCTTCGCTTCAAAGGTGATTCGATACTACCTTCACCACACTCGGAACTTGCGCATGATGAGTTTTCTAAACAGTTTGCAATTTCATGACAACTGTCTAATAATTCAAGCAAGTTCGGAGGTGGTCCTCTAGGAATATTTGGTTCATAAAGGTTCAATTCCATTGGTGTCGTATCTGGTTCGAACGATTCAGCCAACTCTAAACCATCGTTTGTATTATTAAACATGTCATCAATAGTTTTTATCATTTCTTTAAATTCTTCGTCTACATCCGACTTTGATTCAAATTTTTGATCTGGTCTTGGAGTATTTTCTTGTGATCTGATAGATTGACATTCATCTATAGTGTACAAGTTTGAAGTCTGTTGCTGTTGTTCTCTTTTTCTAATTATTGTTGACATAATAGCTAACGTGGAAGCATGACAACGAGGACTTTTCCTAGGAGATCGTCCAATACAGCCCATGCTCCGTCCCCGACCTTTTCTCTTATTTTCAGTTCTGTTTTGATTTTTCATTAAAATTTCGTGAAAATTTTCAATTTCATATGGTAAAAGAAATGGCTTTTGTGAGTCTCCTTCGCTAAAATAATGCCAAAATTCTGCTCCCTCGTCCTGGCGCTGATAGGTTTGATACCACGGTTCGGATTTTGGTACAGCTTCAAAAGAAAATTGCATTTTTTCAACTTCTGGCGATGGTTTGGACGGATATATTTTTTCTACTTTTACAGTTTTCTCGACAATTTCTCCTCCTATATTTCGCTGATTTTCATTTGCCGGTGATTCCTTAATACCAGTTAGGGGTGCTTGATACCTTAATCTGCTCCCAGGAGTTTCGAATTTATAATAATCGACATTGTCTTTGATGAGTGCTTCTGCTTGTGTGCGTCTTCTCTTCCTAGCTCGACCTAAATGTAAGGAATCTTGAGAATCGTCTTCGACAGTTTCTGATTTTACAGGTGAGCTTGAACTCAAGAACGAGCTAGGACATAGAGAATTACCGGTATCATTACACTCACTTTCGGTATCCCTCGGTAATACGCTACTTTGTTCGCCATCACTTATCTCACTTGAATCTTCTCGTTTAAGTTCTCTAAACATAAAAGACTCTGCTTCATCACTTAATAATGACAATTCTGATTTTCTTACGCGTTTAAATCGCACAACTACTGGTTTTTCACTAGATGGCACTTCCTTTTTTTCTTCACTATTCCCATCTCTTTGAACTATACATTGTGAATTGCTATTTGACAATACACTTGATCTTAATTTACTTCCTAACACTTCCACTTTATAATATGCACGGTTATCTTCGATTAAACGTTCTTCAACAGATAACCTGTGTCGTCCTCTGACGCTCCTATTGCCCCTTCTACTTGATTTGCAACATTTTGATTTCTCTTCCTTCACTACTTCATGTTTTTCTGTATCATTCGAGGTTTTACTAATTTTTTGTTCATCCTTTATAACACGACCATTACATGTCGTGGTGCCTATATTGATATCATTGCGTTCTTCTGAAACTTTCTTTGTATTTGACGGAGTATTTTCTAACTGTAATTTGCAAGTCAGTTCTTTTGGAGTTTCATTTCTAGCCACTTTACAAGACTCAGCGCAACTATCATTTGTACTTAAAAGATTTTCGTTACAACCATTTTTTATGTTTCCATTAATTTGATCATGATTTCTACTCTTCGTGGGAGTTTGTCCTCGTTTAACAAATTCTGTATCATTCCCAATACTGTTCCCTTCATTGTTACACGTTATCGTTCTTCGCACATCCTGATTATCAGAGTCTTTATGGTTATTATACATGTCACAGTTTTTCTCATTGCAGTACTTTTGTTCTACTTTTGTCGAAAATGTTTTAATCTTATATTCATTTTGTTTGGATTCTTTTAACTCCTGTTCTTCTATATATTTATCTCGTGGCTCATCTTCTTCAATCCAAATTGTACCTTTTGCTCGCTTCTTGATAGTGAAACCTTCAAACTCGTCATAAAATTTCTCCGCTTTATCGGCTTCGTGCCAAGGACTACCTTTTGATCTTAATAAATGACCGCTTTCATGTTTTGCACGAGTACGCAAATTATGAGGGGAATTTAATTTTAAACTGAGATTCCTACGTGCACCATTACGTTGTACCATCTTTATATCACCGACATCGAAATCCCCTAAGCTTTTTGCACTTCTGTTAACTTTTCCTTCTGGCAGTACTGTATCATGAAGATTACGATCTCCATTGGAAAACAAATTGCAGTCTTTTCTAAAAAAGAACAAAAGAATTTATTAAAGAATACTTTAATAATTATTGTTAGTATAAACATGCAATCTAATCATTGCTATATTTTACATACTCTACATTTTTTCCTCTATTTAATTTCAGAAACGCTTCTACATTAGTTCCTGCATTAATCAATTTATCCAAAGACAAGAAGTTATCATCATTTCGAACAAAGCTAAGATGTTGATCACTTTGTACATGTTTGCTCAGATCTCGATATCTAATGCGACAGATTTCACAATATCCGGAAGCTAATTGTTCTGTTCTTCGAGTACGGGCAGTTGTTCGTGGTCGCCGAGTCATTTCTTTTTCCTGTTTATGTTAAATATAATATTTTATGATTAGTGTTTATTTATATATGTTTATATCATATATA